TACGAATAATAAATTACAACAATACGTCAATTAATTACGTGATCAATTTTTTGAAGGAGAATGTTTTTGGAGTGAATAAAATTATGAGATTCGTGAACATAAATCTGGCTTAACGTTTTGAATGCATTTCCTTCAACGTTTTACAAAACAATTAAATTGCAACAATAATTTATTTGTGTTTTTAGTCTGTAGCATTTGTATTTCGAGAATGTTTCAAACTCTTCTAAATTGTGAAACATAATGTGTTGATTCCATTAAAAAAAATATTTGCCCTGTGACTGGGCTCACTAATATTCATAATTGTAAATAAGTTCTGTTAGTCAATGAAGGAAAGATATGTAAATGATATGCAAATTAGCCCCGGCGCTATGCATTTTTTCTGGGGAGAACCCTGTGGCAGGATGCGTGTCGGTCGGTACGTAATTATACCAACAATCAGACAATAGTCCTCGTCGGAAGCATTTCCGTGGTGGTCACTAATTTTGAGTGACGGTCGGGGCCGACCGGCGTGGTGAACAAAGCTTTTTCACATCTGATATTGGCATGTCAAATATGAAATCAAGCGCCGAGTTGGAACACATAGCGCCGAGGTCCCAAGTGAAGCGCCGAGATTCACAGGTATAGAAAGCCCTGGGGAGAACCCTGATTTCATGACAAATAACGTCAATTCTCTATTTTTCACATTTTTGTTAAAAATGATATTTTCAACTTCTTTAAAACTTACCAACCCAATTGCTTTGATATTTGAGGTGTACAATGTTTTTGTGAACAATTTGTCCTCAACTTGGCTACCATAATAATCTTGTACTGCAGCAGAGCTATTTCAATCGTCAGGTCGCTTGTTGGAGGATGTGATGGCCCTGAAAACGGCCGTTTTGTTAATTGTTGGAAAAGACCTCAAACCATGGCTCAGCATTGTCATTAGAAATGCCGGCCAGAATATCAGTTACAGCCTGGTCGTAGTGAGTGATGTTTTCTTCACTTGTGTCTAAGGCATTGCTAATACCACAAACTTTGAATGACTTTCAAATCATTACGATCTTTGCTTTCAACTGCTGCTAAGCAGATTCAATCCAATTGCACCAGAGATGTCTGCTGTTTTTTTATTATAGGCAGTCCATGATTTGTGTAATTCTGCCTTGAATGGCTTGTTTAGGCAGATGTTGAGTGGTTGCAGCTTTGATAGTAGAAAAATTAACAGGGAGTTTGCACACACCAAATTTTGCTTTCCACGGCATCAGTCTTTTGTGGGCGATTACGAATCAGGTTGCAGCTATGAATATTTGGGTTCTGTGTGTGGCAGTCAAATTTCTTATATCCACCAATGCAAGAGTGCCTTGCCTCGTCCATCCATGGTATTTTCTGATAACAATAAAACCTTGGAGTGGTTGATGTCAATTTGTTGCTTCTTTTCAAATATTAATTACTTATGCAAAAGATCTTTGTGAAGTAGAAACTCTGTTGTTGCCTATACATTCCTCTTTAAAGTCTATGGTTTAACCTCTCTTTTTACTTTTCCAGGCAATTGCAAGTTTTGCCATTCCTGCCAATGCAACAGTGAACCAGAATGCAAGTGATTGCAGCGACATTACAGCCAAATTGGTTATCAATTTCTTTAATGGCTATAATGTGACGGCTGAATTTGGTGCCAATAATAGTTCATTCCAAGTTGAAAAATTGATTCTAGGGTATACCTTGGATACACTACATTTCCCTAAAGCAGTTAATCAAAGTAAGTTGTAAGTTACTTTCAGTTAACCTGTCTGAGCTGTTCAAATTACTGATTATGAGTCGTCAACATTTATGTTCTTAATTGGTACAAAGGCAAATCATAATCTAATACATATTCTTCTAACATTTTATGGTGGTAATGTTTTGGAGCACAGTATGGTCATAATGTTCTACTGCCAATTTATATCGACTACAGTATATTTAGATGTCACTTCAATTTAAACACCAGTAAAAAGTGGTTAATTTGGTTCTAAAATAGGGTCACAAACAGTTGAAAAAGTACATCCAAACTTGAAAAAAAATGTTATTTCTACAAAAAAATACTTTTAATGATTTTAATGTAATATGCATTGGTTTTAATTTTGTTGGTAACAAAAAGTATAGTCTGAAAGAAGTTTCAAATAAATACAAACGCTTTGCTTAGTAGTGTGTTTTGCAAGTGAATAATTTACTTTTTAGTGAAGTGTTGCAATTGTTCAATTACATTACAGCTGAAAACTTAATTACCTAACATATCCATGCACGTTAATGCTGCGTTAAACCGACATGTAAATTATAAATGGAACCCCAAACATTGGGGATTAGTTTAAGCGTCCTGCTGCTGTACACAGCTCTGGTAATTGTTCAGTAAATTGCTTTTTTCGGTGTACTTCCGGTCACTATATCGTACCAAAAATGGATAGGTGTGACTATGAATATACTCTCCTTGATGTGACGTTACGATTGTGATTCCAAATAGCGTGTATGTTAAGATTTCGATGAAGTAATGACAGAAATGACCACGGATCAACCAACGCGTTACTAAATGCACAACTGTCAATCAAAGTCACGTGACACAGTCAACATACCCCATGATGAGCTGGCTAACTTATCCAAACATTTAGTTTATAATCCAAATCTGCTTATCCAAGTAGCGGATTCAGTGAAAACAAAGGAGTCTCAGTCAGAACAAGACTCCGAGAGCAAGAAAATACATTTATTTCCACAGCTTGTAAAACACTGGAAATATTCACGTGTCCAGAATATCGGCCGTTCTTTTCTGCAGTCATTTTGCTTTTCCATTCAGTGTTACTTTTATTTGTGTTGAAAATAAAAACAAGAGTTTTGTATTTTTTTTTTATGTTCAATTTTAATCTGTTCAATTAAAATCTGTTGTGAACCAAAATGAAGGCTAGTTTACAGTGGTGAGTACTGGGTTCCGGCTGATCGACAACCGGCTAGTGTCCCCCTAGTGTTACGTTACGGTAAATGTACTTTTGGGTAGATTTACGGCATGTCTGCCCTGTGTCAGTATCACTGTCATATACTCATTGAATTCGAATATGAATGACATGATTTTGTTTTCGATTACTCGTCATATAAGCCTGTTCGTATGTTTGGTGTGCCAGACAAAATGATGGCGAAATATTTTGACGAGTTCAGTTATTTGAATTCATAATAAAATATCATGAATCGTATTATTTATTTGATATTAGTCTACACCGTATTGTAATATTTGTGCCTATGAATATTCTAGCCAGGGACTAGACTGGTGGTGCTGGTATATGGTTCAATATATTTTTGTGTTTATTGACTAGCTAATAATGCATGGCCCGGACACCTATTTCGAAGGAGATGCTGATCACCTAGCTGGAAAACAATTCGATAAAAGGTCGCGAGTACCACGATTTTATTCAAGTGCGATATGATAAAATCCTCTAGAGAATCCCTCTTTGGAGTCGTGGATTATTTGAAAACAGCATTTTAACATTGTATTTTATTCATGAGTGTCTGCATAAACCTTTGCCTATAGCATTCTGGTATAAAAACAAATGTTTCAACTGTACGACTCTTTACCGTGGATATCATAACATGTAGTGAAAATATGTGTTTCAACTTTTATTTTGGCGCATTACCCGTGGTTTTGTTTCCCCCAGGGCAAGCCATTTTTAGTCTCGTTGACTTCCTGTCTGACATACTTGTGATTGCATTGAAATGCGTTTCCGTGTCAATTTGCGTGCATACGTAATGAGGCATAGTGACACCCATGTTGAAAAAAAAATCTGACGAAGTGACATTCGGATAAAAAATAAATCCAGCAAAAATCCAATCGATTGAGTTGGCAGTTAGTTGCGACAGACTGCTCCTTGAATGCATTTTATTTTTCAAATACATTTCAGAACATGGATATATTTAACATTGGTGATTATGTTTTGAAAGAAAATAATAAACGTGTTAGAAAAGATTTAGAAAATAATAACTTTTTTCCACGGCGTGGCACTGTTTACTGCAAAGTGCACTTAGGTTTGCTTTATAATTACAACAAATTCATCACTCATACATGATTTTATTTGAACTCATTCATACAAGTACGATAGGCTCTTTTATACTGCTAAAATGAGTCGTGCAGCCGAGAAAAAGCTTGCACACAATTTATAACCTATCCACAGACAGTTGAAATAATAAATGGGTGATGTATGGGTCCCACAGTCGCGCGTATCCCGAATTGTTCAGGGATCACTTGATGATATTTACGTACGCTTTAGAAAAAATATTAGTTACTTGTTGGGCGTACGTAAATATCATTAAAGTGCCTGTGCAATGCCCACCCACACGTTAACTATTTTAGATCCGTGTTCTACTGAAGTGAGCAGTTATTGATTTTTTTTCCTCAAAATGGTTACTCCTATCCAAGTAAATTTAAGATGTATCTCATGCTGTAGCCACGCCCACCTATCCTGAAACGGTCGACTGTTTCCGGATTTCCGACTCTCGCCGAAAGTGCGCCACCAAATGCCAAAATGACGAAAGCCGTGAAAACAACGAGAAAAGGTTGGGGTGGACCTTCTCCTTACAGCGTCATATGTAGTGTCCACTTCACCTCAGATTCTTTTTTCGAAAAACTGTCTTCGGCCGTGAAAAAACAACTAGGTTTTAAAGAGAAGCGCCGACAACTTAAACCTGGCGCAACAATTTTGAAAGAAATAGATTCCGAACCAGCCCATGATCACCGACTTGTTTTGCCATCCTGATTATCGCTTTATAGA